GAGCGGAGAAGCTCTATGCGAAGTTCTCCAAGTGCAAATTTTGGATCTGACGAGTCGAATTTCTAGGCCATGTTGTTAGCGAAGAGGGAATACACGTGTACCCTTAGAAAATCAAGGCCATTGAGAACTGGTCAGCACCGAAGACACCTACAAAAATTCGTCAATTTCTAGGTCTCGCTGGCTACTATCGCAGGTTCATTCATAACTTCTCCAGCATAGTGAAACCTCTAACAACCCTGACCCAGAAAGGCGTGGCCTTTGATTGGGAAGAGAAACAGGAAAGAGCATTCCGAACGCTCAAACGAGCCTTGTGTACCGCACCGATACTATCCCTCCCCGAAGGGATAGAAGACTTCATTGTCTATTGCGATGCATCCAATCAAGGACTCGGATGTGTTCTGATGCAACGAGGTAAAGTCATAGCCTATGCCTCGAGACAGCTGAAGACACATGAGGTTAACTACACCACCCATGATCTTGAACTAGGAGCAGTCGTATTTGCTCTAAAGATCTGGAGACACTACCTTTATGGTACAAAAAGCACGATCTTTACAGACCACAAGAGTCTACAACACATCTTCGACCAGAAAGAGCTCAACATGAGACAACGACGGTGGGTAGAGCTACTCAGTGATTACGAGTGTGAAATTCATTATCATCCGGGTAAAGCCAATATAGTAGCCGACGCCCTGAGTCGGAAAGAATATACTGGTCGTAGTGTCAAATCTTTGACTCTAACTATCCATTCACACTTGTCCATACAAATTAAGGAGGCTCAGCTCGACGCTTTGAAACCTGAAAACATGGCAGGTGAATCCCTTAGAGGGATGGATAAGAACTTGGAAGTCAAGGGTGGCAGAGCTTTATACCTCATGGATCGGATCTGGACACCGAAACACGGTGGCTTCAGAGACTTGGTCATGACTGAAGCTCACAACACTCGTTATTCCATCCACCCCGGTTCAGATAAGATGTATCTGGATCTTAAAAAGTTATACTGGTGGCCTAACATGAAAGCAGATATTGCTACCTTCGTGAGTAAATGCCTTACTTGCGCGAAGGTTAAGGTCGAATACCAGAAACCCTTCGGTCTCTTACAACAACCGGAGATACCAGAATGGAAGTGGGAGCGGATCACTATGGACTTCATAACCAAGTTGCCCAAGACAACGGGTGGACTTGATTCCATATGGGTCATCGTCGATAGACTGACCAAGTCTGCACACTTCTTTCCAATCAAAGAAACAAACAAGATGGAGAAACTTACAAGAACTTACATTAGGGAAATTGTAAGGCTGCACGGTGTTCCTTTATCTATTATCTCGGACAGAGATAGTAGGTTCACTTCGAGGTTCTGGCAGTCGTTACAAAGTTCCCTAGGAACTAGGCTGGACATGAGTACAGCCTACCATCCACAGACCGACGGGCAAAGTGAGAGAACTATCCAAACCTTAGAAGATATGTTGTGAGCCTGTGTGATTGACTTTGGAAAAGCTTGGGATATCCATTTACCCCTCGTTGAATTTTCCTACAACAACAGTTATCACATGAGCATAAAGGCAGCTCCATTCGAGGCCCTCTATGGCTGAAAGTGCAGATCCCCTCTGTGCTGGGATGAGGTGGGTGATACCCAGTTAGCTAAGGGACGAGTTCACGAAAGCACTCTCACGTGTCCGGAGATCATTCGGGAAACGACAGAGAAGATCGTTCAAATTCGTGAATGATTGAAAGCCTCTAGAGACCGACAGAAAAGCTACGCTAACAAGCGTAGGAAACCATTGGAGTTCCAGGTGGGCGACCGAGTCCTACTGAAGGTCTCACCCTGGAAGGGCTTGATACGCTTTGGAAAGCGTGGGAAGCTCAATCCAATATACATAGGGCCTTTCGAGATTCTCGCGAGAATCAACCGTGTAGCTTACAAACTCAATCTACCGCACGAACTCAGTAACGTACATTCTACCTTCCACGTCTCGAACTTGAAAAAGTGTCTATCCGACGAGACTCTTGTTATTCCACTCGACGAGATCGAGATCAACGAGATCCTCAACTTCGTGGAGGAACCAGTAGAGATCATGGACTAAGAGGTCAAGCAAACAAAGCAGAGTCGTATCCTGATAGTGAAGGTTCGCTGGAACGCAAAGCGTGGACCTGAATTCACTTGGGAACGAGAGGATCAGATGAAACTGAAATACCCTCACCTTTTCGATTAGCTATTTGTAACTTCTTAATTGCTTAAATTCTAATTTCGGGACGAAATTCCTTCTAACGGGGGATGATGTGACAACCCGAAATTTCCATTCTATACAAACTATCTCACTTCAATAGAAGTTATAGCAGTCACAGTTAATTTTCAGACTTTTTCATGTAAGTTTGAGTAATTCAGGGTTTACACTTCAGGAAATATCAGGAGAGTGGGTGCACTAGGGTTTTGTGCAACACTGTTACTCCAACACTCCATTATATTAGAGATCATTTCAGGAATAAAAATATTTTCTGCCAAAAATATCTCAGGACTATAAATAGAATTCTGAACCAAATTCATTCATTATTCGCATTTCCAACTAGAGAAAAGCCATTTTCTCTCTCACGGATCTTCGGGTTTTTATACCAAAACGTGAGTAACTCTTTCTAGTAGTGTTAGAAAGCTTATTATGTAGTTATAACATGATTTAGGTGGCTAAATCACTAGATTTAGGAGTTTACTCCCCAAGGTGTTCTTGGGCGGTAAACTCCCGAAACGAAGCCTAGACTATCCCCCGTGATATACTACTGCCTTGGACTTGTATAGGAGTCTGTTAGGGACATGAAATCAAGCATGAACCACCCAAGTTTGGGAGTTCACGGCCCAAGAATATCTTAGGCTATAAACTCCATAATCATGCTCAAAATGGTGCTTTTAAGGCACCTAAGGCCTTAGACTTTCACCTAGACTTGTTCCCAATAAATCAAGGGCCTTAAACACATAATCATTAGGTTATTCATATCGCTTACTACTATGGCGTGTTAGTCCTGGTATCCAGGGATAACACTTACATGGTTATATTTTTCCTATTTACTTTATTTTGTGATATATTCACATAAACGATGAGTTAGACCAATTACTGTTTGTAGTAGTCAAAAAGAAGGAAAAACTATAATTTTAATTACAAAACATTCGGGTCTTGGTAGAAGACTACATTGTCATAACGAAACATTCAGGTCTTGGTAGAAGACTACATTTCATACTAGTAGGAAATAAGGGATTTCTTAGGGTTTTTCATACTTATATCAAATGTCTTACTTAAATGTTTTACATGACATTCATAACAGCTTTTCAAAGCAAGACAATGACACTTAAATACTTATGAATTCACCAGCTTTAAAGCTGACACTTTCTCTTTCAAAATAACTTGTATTCTCAGGTCATCAGTAGATAGGTACGGTGGCCAGATTTTGAGAAGACGGAGCAGACAAGTCTCGTCTTTTATTTTGATTATATTTTTGGTGTCTTATTACAATGAAAGAACACACATGTATTAAAACTTTACTTATAATGCAATGGATGATGTTGTTGCTTGTTTACTATTTTACACTGTTGTGGTACTGTACATGACGTCCTCCACCCCTGAACGTTTCCGCCGTTCGTGGTTTTGGGGTGTGACAGCTTCTCCGGTGGTTATGAAGCACAAGGGGGATGGCAGTCGATGGTTTAGCACAATGACTAAGGTCTCATCAGATCTCGACATCACAAACCCTTTGCAACTAGTATCATTATGAAGCTTAAAGAACGAATGGAAACAAAGGAGTGTCATTGCAGGTGGGTAAATCCATTATTGTTGATTTCCAGATTAATTCCAAGGAGTATATTTAAGTATGTATATGTTCGTATGTGGAGTTCTTGAGCAAAAACAAACCCCAAAATGTTTCAGGGCATGGTTTTGATTTTTGAAGAAGATAAAGTGTTAAAGAAGATGATGATGATGGTGTTCTGAAGGATTATCTTCATGAGAGAGAGAGAGAGAAGGTGGGTCTCTTTTTATTTTTTTAATTATTAAAATAAATAAATTAATATTACATTTAAAAAGAAATGAAAGAAAAATGAAAAATAAATACCGCAAGGGCATTACTTTCATTTTACTATTCAGAGGGACCAAAAACACAACAAAACTAGCTCAAAAGGACCACTGGTCCAAAAAAGTTATGGTTTGGACTTAAACCCCTAAAAACTGCATACCACAGGGACCATTTTTGCAATTTTGTCTTTTTAAATTTTAAGTATGAATATTATGATTAATCCCAAAATGTTTCGAAATTCTTCTTAGAAAAAACATCATAAATGGACCCTATGGTTTCCCAAAATCTGAAGATTAGTCCTCGTGGTTTAAAAACCTCATAGATGGTCCCTGTGCTTACAAAACTTTTGACGATTGGTCTTTATTGCTAACTCCGTCAAGTTTTTTTGTAAACTGAAAGGCATTTTCGTCCTTTCATTATCACACGGACTATTTATGAGACTATTTATGATGTTTTCACTCATTTAAAAAAAATAATACGTTAGGGTTTTTGCTTTGCCTTTAAATTTGGATTGTTCGTGTTTCTTTGTGAACATTTTGTGGTTTAAGTAGAAGCAGAACATTTTGTGGTTTAAATTAGGATTGCTTTGCCTTTAAATTAGGATTGTTCTTTAAATTAGGACTCTTTGTTCTTCGTTTCATATCGTTTCTGTATTTTCGTTTCACTAATGTTAGGGTGAAATCGTTGATTTGAAAAATGGGGATTTCAAGTTCAAAAGCAAAGACATGTGAAGCTTTAAGATTATGCAAAGAGAGAAAGAAGTTCATCAAACAATCAATTGATTCACGGTACAATTTAGCAGCAACACATGTTTATGTTGAATCCCTTCAAAACATAGAAATCGCCCTTCGTAATTTTGCAGAAAGAGAAGTAATCTTAGACTCATCTTCAACCACATATTAGAAACCCCCTAGCCCACCGCCATCTTCACCACAGATTAACCACAAATGGTGCCTCCGGTGGCAGTGGCGACCAATCGAGTTCTCCATCTCCATCTCCGCTGCCAGATGTGAGCTTAAATTACTTGAAATCAAGTGGGAATGGTGTTGTAACTGTTAATGTAAACTCATCGAAGAGTAGTAATTGTAATAAGGTTTATGTAGACGATGTTGAAAATCCACCATTCACAAATAGCCACGGTATGTATTTGATAAAATGCCCGAGTAAAATCTTGATGCTAGAACAGAGCATTCGTAGAAAGCACACTCATTATTATTTTTTATTTTTTTCTTTCGTTTTACTTTGTGACCCCGCCTATGTTATGAGATCTGATATACATAAATTATTGGGGTGATTAGGTGGAAAGAATGTAGATTAAGGAATTTTGACCTTCATTATTGATGCCAATGCTAAGAGCTAACTACTTTGCAACCTGTCGTTTCCATGGAGATTCTAATAAAAGTGAATGCAATCTGTTCTGTTTGGATTGCTGTGGGAATTGCATATGTCACCACTGTTTGATTCATCATAAAGATCGTGTTCTTGAACAAGCATTCTCATCCTAGGCCAGGAAAAGGCTTCACCCACCACTGTGAGATTTATGGGCGGAACCATGTTGAAGCTTTTCGATTCTCTTCTCTTGGTTGTATGGTAGGATTCTTGACTTCTGGTTTCATTTCATTCCACCTTGATTTGGTTCCATATTGGCTTGATTTTTTTATTTCTTTTTAGCTTGGTGGCATGAAACGTTGGGATAGCAAGTTGAGCTTCACGTTGAAGATGAACCATACCCAATTAATCAGGTGTTTTTTTGACCCTTTGCATATTATTTTTTTTTAAATAAAAGAAAACATCATAAATGGTCCCTTTGATAGTGAAATGACGAAAATACCCTTTAGTTAACGGACAAAACTTAATAGAGTTAGCAATAAGGACCATCTGTCAAAAGTTTTCTAAGCATAGGGACCGTCTATGAGGTTTTTAAACCACGAGGACTAAACTTCAGATTTTGGGAAACCACAGGGACCATTTATGATGTTTTTTCTTGTTCTTATTTTATCACGTATCTTGATATTCTTAAGACAAAACTTCAAAAATGGTCCCTATGGTTTCCAAAAATATCAAGTTTAGTCCTTAAGTTCAAAAAACCTCATAGATGGTCCATATGGTTTCAAAACTTTTAACAAATGGTCATTCCGCCTAACTCCGTCAACTTTCTACCGTTAAGTGAGGGGCATTTTCGTCATTTCAATACATATGGATCATTTATGAGGTTTTCTCTATTTAAAAAAAAAAGAAAAAATATATAATTATTTAATTAAAGGGCCCCACCCTCTCTCTCTCATCTATATGTTTCTTCTTCAACAATCTTCCTTAATCTTCATCAATAAACACACAAACACAGACATATGATATTTCCCAACACCACCTATGATCTTCTTCTTTTCACCAGATGAATAAAAATCCCACTAAACTCCCTCTCAGCCTCACTCACTCGTAGGAAAAATCCCACTAAACTCCCTCTCAGCCTCACTCACTCGTAGGAAAAATCCCACTAAACTCCCTCTCAGCCTCACTCACTCGTAGGGTCAGAAACGGTAGAAGAATCAAGCTTTTCTGCTTAAAATCCAGTATCTCACCTTCAAATTAATTACCATGCATCTGGAAATCAATAAGAATGCTCATCTCTGTAATTGATTCAGGACTCGACCACCAAATTTGTTGCTCTAAACTTTAATTTCCCTCAACAACCCAATATTTCTCACATCTGGCATCAATCCTCCAAAATCGTTGTTCGCAAAACTTGGGGTTCGAATGCTTGATACCTCAACCAAAATTTCCATGTCGATTGTCCCTATTAACACCATATTCTCGAGTTATAACCCTAACACACTCAAATAGTTCTCTTATCGGTGAGCTCTATTTTATTTTCTCTTGATCTTGCCATGATTACTGACAACTTTAAGATGAACGACGATTTGGTTGTTTTTTTTACTTCCTTGCACATTTTTACTGGTTCGTTCAATTTAATTTTGGGATTAAACAAGATTGA